TGATGCACCAATCAAACATCATATTATGCCTTAGTTGACCGTTAGACTTGTCTAGGGTTCGAATCTGACCGATGATTTGTTTTCGTTGCGTTAACACATTCAGTGACTCGCCTCACGAGTTCACTTTTGTACTTGAAAATCGTAGTAGCATTGGACGTGTTTGAAAAGTTTAGATGAACTTATTTGGGATCTATACTTTCTCAACTGGATTTTATAATTTTAACAGGTTTTCATTATCCCCATTCGCCCCTCATTTTTTCAAATATAGCGAAACTTAAACGAATTGTTTTAAAAATTCTAGGAATTATTCTTAGTAATGAAGATGCTTGATGGTCATTTTGAATGTTTTTTGCAGACCGACCAAACGAGTTGTGAAATATTTAATTATTATTTATCCGACGAAATCTCTTTATGTTTTCAAGGTCATTGCTGAAGTCTACACGGTCACTGCTTTTTTATTTCCATGCTCGAAATAACCGGCACCCATAAGTCCACGCCATATTCGCTGGTTGCACAGATTAACACGATTAATGTTTTAATATTAAAAATACTATAGTTTTTACTTGTGTTTGTCTTGTCGTACTTGACTGATGGTTGATGTTCTACTAAGATACTTCTAAGTTTTTAATTATCATATTTGCCCAGTTGATGGTATTTTTGTGATCTTTAATAGAATGGATGAGTAGTATTACAATTAAATATTTAGTGCTAAAACACAAATATTTTAAGTTACATTAACATGTTAATATTATGTATACATTGATTTCGAATTGCCATGAACTTGTTTTTTTTGTTACAATATTGCGTGTCGTTGAATGATTTCGGATTAAACGAGTGTTAAAACAAATTAAGTATGTAAAGGTTCACTTAGGAGCGCAGTAGGGCGCGAGGTGAAGGTTCTATGTGGTCATTATTCATTAGCATCGACTATCTAATTGTTTGCCGAGATTGCTCAATTTACTAGTTATACGTTTCCCTTTGGATCCGGAAAACTATTGAAAAAATATTCATTAATTTAACTATCAGCTACCGTAATTAGTGAAAACGTACGCTCTCAACACTTCCATGCTTATAATATAAGTTTTAGTACTTTGAATCAGTATTTTAATAAAACTAAACAAATTAGTCAGATGTTATTTCGTAGGAACATCTACTGGGAATTTTTTAGTACTATAAGCCCTTTTGTTTATACACTTTTGGTTATGCACAAAATTGGAATATACAATTCTGTATTTCTGTCATTTTATATAAATTTTAAAATTCATTTAATATGTTTATATCATCTAAGACCGCCTTATAAATTGTAGCATATATCTTCGTCTCTTTTTTGTCTATTTTGACCTTTAAACTTTTTGTACTGGATTTAAATATAAATGCTATTTGTATTAATTTATTTAAAACGTCATCAAAATGTCAAACAACTAATTTTCTTGTTACCAATTCAAAATTTCATTAAAGTACAAAATGATGATATTCAAGTTATACTCGTTTGTGTTAAAAGTTGTAAAATAAACGATGTTTATTTAAATATGCTACATATGTTTAGAATGGATATGGTTCGGTAAAAAAATAAAGTAATGGATATGTTTGAATCCGTGAGCGGACAACTTTCAAGGTTCTATGTTATATTATATTGTGGAATTGTTATCTAGGTTAAGTATAATTTTGATTATTTAATGCCTTTTTACTTGAAGACAGTAAGTAGCATAGTTAATTTAATTTAGTACTTAACTAGAGGATGTTAAGTGGTAGATTATTCCAATCCAATTGCCTTACGCTCACGTAATTCTCGCGAGTCGAATACATATCGAAGCGATTCAGCGCCTTTGTACATTTCCATATACATCTAACCACTTTTATTCGTCTGCGGAGTATAAACAGCGTCACGATACGGCCGCTGAATTAATGTCCCCAATTCAATTGAAGTGTTTCATTAGCACAAGTGGCCTCGATTGCTTCGTTGATCTGTGGCAGCCTGTTCGCCAAACTGCGGCTCGTCGCGGCGCCTCTTGTCCACAGCCACAAATTAGAAAATGTACACACGTTGAACTGATTTTTGGCTCATTTTTTGAAAGCTTGGAACTCTGTTATAACTTCTATACTATTATAACCTTGTGGTAAAATTGTCAATCTCACCTTGTTGCATTTCGTATTATTTTTGAATAGAATGACAATAAGTATTAAGTCATTTATATTTTCGTCTTGGCTAACGTATGTAATTAAGAAATAATGGGTTTTTAAACGACTTTATTATCAGTCAATCAGCGTCGCCTCGTGTGATAAAACTTTGAAATTGCCCCTGCAATTGTTTACTACTTCAAGAAATTTCTAAATAAACAATGGTTATCTTATTTACGGGAGGTAATTAATTGTAAAACTTGTCGTTCTTATCTGTCCACGTTTGTTTATTTCATCTTTATTGAAACAAAGAATATAAATGACGTAAAATTGAAGTGGCAATGTAAGTAGGGGATGAACATAACGACACAAACTGACTGGAATATTATAAGCACACTAAATTATTAAAGCAATGTTCATTTTCTTGTATGTTTATTATTAAGGTATTAAGTCCGCGATCTGCTCAGACCTTCGCGCGCTGTCGGCTCCAATTACTCGCGAACCACAAGCGCAGCGTTGGCAACCGGTGCCATTACCAGCTCGTACTGGGCGTTCGTACTAAATGAACTCTGGCGCAACTCGGTTGCCACGTGCGACCACTGCCATCAATTGCAAACTGTTTCCCAACGCGGTTGCCACGTGCTACCACTGGCGTCAATTGCAAACTGCTCACTTTATAGTAGCTCACGAACAACGGAATTGGAGCTAAATTAGAATTTATAGCTAAAACGGTTTAAGATGTCGTAAGGCTATCATTACCTCGATTTATCATTTGCTTCATTAATGGTGTTGATCGGAACCGTTTGGCTGTAAAGTAAATTAGACATTTATGGGATTTAGTACTTCAATTAATTCATTGTTAAATAAAGACGGGATTTATGAAGTCTAATGCCAAAATGTTATGAAAATACGTTATGTGACTAAAGTACATTATGCGATATTGTTCTGAAATAAATAGAAAATAAGTGCAACTCTTATTTTGTAACATTATAACGTTGCGCGACGCTTCTTGGCAATAATTATCATTACTAGTACATGTTACTTGATAGTTCATTGAATCACTTACGCCACATATGTTTGTAGCTTGTTAGAAATAGCTCCTTTCATAAATGACAGTCTTATCTGCATGCTGATATTAAATATATCTGTTTATGATTCAGGCCAAGCCTGTTGCGATTACTGTACGAGTCGTTATTATTAATTATAAAGTACTACAGTTGCTCTGTTCTAATTTGATGTGAAAGGCAAACTAACAAGCGGTAAGCATTGAATTGTTAAACATTATCCTTCATTTACCTCAATCAATGTCTTAGTTCAATACAATGAATCCTTAATTATTGATTTGTATCAGTTTCCTAGTAAGAGCGTCGGTGGTTCAGGAGTCAAGCACTTGACTTGCAATCTGCAGGTCCTGGGTTCGAATCAAGCCATGTACCAATGTGTTTTTCGATTTCCGATTTACACATGTACATTTATCCGACGTTCTTACTGTGCAGGAAAACATCGTCATGCAACCTGCACATATCTGAAAAGAAATTCAAAGATATGCGTGAAGTCAACCAAACCGCACTTGGCCAGCGGACTATGGCCTAGTCACCCCTAACTTAGGGTAGGCTCCGAGCCGCTCGGTGAGGACATATAGTGAGATGATGATGATCAATTTCCTTAAAATATTACAATATGAAGAGCTAATAATTAATTAAATTTTAGATGATGATGTCCTTCTAAGGTTACATATACATTTTAAGTAATTTTGTGGCAACAGAAAAAGTATTTTTAATAAACCTACAATTATATTAATAAACTGATTCTACAGTTTCGTATTCAAACATTTATTTATCACAGAGTGTTAAATGCATAGCAAGTCGATAAGTTTTCGTAAGTGATTTAGTTGGCAGATAGAGCTACATAACTATTCGATAACTAACGACCATACGCAGCGCTCGCCTCCAATAAAACTGTCGTAAAACGCTTCTAAAATTTTAATTGCCACTAATATTTTACAATATACAGTCGGGATGTTTATTTCCTACCCGGTTGACGGCATTTAATACAATACAATTAGGTCGAAAACTGGCCAAAGAAACATATAGTAAATTATGGCTCTGATGGTGACAGTTTACATATATACGATACTGGGAAGATAATTTTATTTCGTTTCGTCAAATTTATATTACTACACACCTTATATGTCTTCTCGATACGCCGTATCCCACTAATCTATCCCGATTGCGAAATATATAATTACAAGTATATAACCATTAATCTGTTATATTTTATTTAGAACACTCGCTTTCTTACGATTTTTTGACCCATTGATATAGACATTAGTCCAAAATAATTACATAGTCACATTTTCACTTTACGATACCATATTAATGTTTTACCTCGTTAGGTTACCGTACATTTTCACTGCTGACATGGACAATGTAAATATTTACCAAGCTCGTAGAAGCGAATCGGCAGTGTAAGTGAAGGGTAATATTGATTGTAACATAAAACATATTAAAAAATGAGGTTTAGGACTAATCTTATGATAGTCGTTACAAATAAAGTTATATGAACTGCCTTCGGGTTTTCCGGGCCGATGGCGCGGCGGCTGGCGGACGGCGTAAAGTTTTACTTTCTTGTAGGAAGTGCTGTCGCTTTCAACGGAGACCGGTTAGTTGTACCGAGGCGCTCGTTATTAGTATTATCGCATCGTAAGCCTAGGAGTATTTGTCTTTACAGCACTTCCAACGTAATAATTGTTAACCGTAAAACTTTGTTCGAAGAACGTTTTAAAAACTTTGTTGTGGAAAATATTCAGTTCGCTTTTGGTAATATGTGGCTATTTTCTTTCACCTGTGATGAGTTTTAACATTGTCTTTTTTTTATTCCAGGTGAGCCCCGAATACCAGAACGATGGTGGAGTAAAAAATTTTGTAAGTTGAACTCTTCAGCTGCTTCTTATAATTGTATATCACCTATATGGTAAGACAGATTAGAGCAGACTATCTCTTTGTAGCAGTGGATAAATAGTCAATATTTATAGTACATATACCTGAATTCGCCAAAATAGTGAAGTTCTTGAACTTCTGTTGATATATGTAATAACTTTAAAATGTTACCTTTATTAAAACAAATAATGCGTTATATGACTACAGTTAAATGTCGACGTATTTAAAGTCAGTACAAGAAATAAAGCCTTAAGTTTGTCATCAATAGAATTATCTTAAACAGATAAACACTGACTAAGTTGCCCACTTAGTGGCATGTAAATTGTTCCGTAACGATTATGTGTATGCACGTGGACCGCATGATAACTTTCTAAGTGTAACAAATAGTATATGGGAACAATAGGGCGAAGGAAATTAGTCATTTTTTTGTGTTATTGCGTCGGTTGAGTCATGTCAGTTTGGCGGGGAAAGCGTCGCGTTGTGATGCAACAATAAAAATGACACGGACAAAGGAATTGCGAGCGAGCACCTGACGCTAGGGCTCAGTTTACTCAGCTAATGGCCTACCGTAATGACTCGGCATGCGCTCGACGATGCGTTTGCGCTAACAATGCACTACGCGCAACAAAAACTGCGTAATTAAATAATTACATGGTACGCAGTAAACAATCCTATTACAAGACATTTAATAGATTTATGTACGAGATTAATTTAATGTCTAGTAATCCAGATAAGATAGTCGACAGATAAGACGCAAAAGTATCATCTTTATTTTGCACGTTATTACAGTGTAAATGTGGGACTTTTATAAATAAATTTGGTTGTATTCACATAAAAAGTTCATTTCTTTTTTAATACTAAAAATGTTTGGTTTAATGAGTTAATCCTAAACATTATACGAATATATCTAAGCAGTGTTACAATGGCAGTAACACACGAAGGTTAAGTTGCGGGCCGGCATCGTCGGCCGTAGGGCGTCGTGAGCAACTTTGTTTACACGTACAATTCTGCAAATCAGCGTCGAACCGCGTTCATTTGTTGCATCTATAAATAAGGAGGTGCTAAAAGCGGCCCGGCCGGGGGACGTGCTTCCTCAGCTTTGAGCAGTTGGGCAAACACGCCCCGAACCCTTTGTTGACACTCGTCTTACACCGCCTGCGTGTGCGCCGAGCCACGAGCCGTGCGCATGAACACACAGTAACCAGCATCGCCACTAAAGCTACGCACAACTAAACACTCGCTGTAACGTCAACGGTGGTCTACACCAACAGGAAAAGACCAGCGCCTTCACAGAAAACCGATACCACTCATTCCTGATGTCTAGCCCACATATTATCATCGAGTGAATCATTAGAAAACAATGTGATCGTATAGCTGAACTTAAAAAACATAAGATACAAATATACGCCTCGGTCACGTAAATACGACCCTACAGGCTATGAAGTTACGATTCTTGTAACATCAGGCCCCCTACGTGATTTCCTCTTCGCCGTATCAAAGATTAACGTTTACCTCGAACAATGGAAGCGCATTGTTTCTTCTAATAACCAGAAACAATCGTTTTGTGTATTCAAATTATAAATAAAGACATGCGATGGCATTTTTACCATAGCGGGTGTACCTTGCATGGCAATGTGGAATAGCCGATCTAAATGCGCGTCGCGGCCAGCGCGTCCGGTCCTGCTCTTTTAACAGTTGCTAACTTTATTATATGTTCACCACTCCGCTGTTGGCCAGACTAATTATCATGCAGTGGACGTACTCGTACACTCAACGAGACGATGTATTTTTATTGAATTCTTTACACTTTTTCCTCGTGAAGATGTAAAAGATGAAGTATACCTTTCAGTTACATTTCACCATGATGTTTAGAGTGATTTAAGTAATTTCACCAATGTATGAAATAAAGGATCTAGGGATCTTTAAATACAAAATACAACGTGGAACCACCGACCACTTAATATACAAACTTATGAGTTATTTTAAAAACTCCTAAGTTTGTATATTAATACAAAAATGTGTGTCGTGTTAACCAACTATAATCTCCATCGCTCCCCAGCCGCAGTAATTAACAAGCGGCCGCTCTGCGGGAGACTAGCTCCGAGTACATGCATCTTACGGACATTTTGAACTATTTTCGTTTGTCCTACGATTATTTAACAAATAATTCATATACAATCATTTGTCTCCGAATCAATTATGATGGGTGTGAAACGTTTAATTTTTAAATAATCCGTTACAATACCAGACGCGAGGGATTAATTACGCATCGTCGCATTATGAATCATACGCTCCGTATTCATTGTTTGTTATTTCCGAGTACACGCTGTTTGCACGTATGCAACATTTACTTATTAATGTTTTAACAAACTCGAGGCGAAAGATGCAATGGTTAATCACTTGACATTACTGGTCAGTTGACGGAACGACGGCGCGGCGTGACCCGCCGAGGGGACGACGATATCTTGAATGTATTTTCGCGCAATCATTCAATAAACGTGATCGCCGCAATCGACAAGACCCTCCGACTCCTCAGAGAAATGGACCAATTTAATATTAGAATAACTATCCAATATTACATAGCTGTCACCCGCTCAGTTACTGATAGAAAGCTTTATACCATTTAAATTACGATTTCACGGACAATGAGGGCTGCGTTAAGTTATTAAAAGTTCGTTTATAAATAGAACGCATTTGATTAAAGACAATTAAAGAGTAATTAAGGCCCGTCTCTTGGATTGTATTACGCCTCGGCTTCAATTGTCGTGTTGGATGTTATGGCGGGTAAAGTTTAACCTTTGTATGCGACGTCTGGGCCGTTGCAATCACTTCTCTACGGGCTAAATTACAATGTACTCGGATCAAATATAAGACCAATTTAAGTATCTTACGTCACGACGATGTTATCATGGTAACGAAGCAGGTATATTAATTTAAAAAAAGAACGTTAATATTAGTATTTTATAAGAGGTATCTCAAGTTTATATTAAAAGAACTTCGAGTACCTTTCAAATATTAAATTTAACCGTTTTAAGATGAATAACGCATTCATGTTAATAATAGCTTCCGTCATACAAGACACATAAGTCTATACATTTTCCTTTGTGATGGAAATAGAATATTTAAATTAAATATGTCGCATGTTTTAAATTTGCTGAAAACCAGTGACCCGGATTCGATCTTTTGTTGCTCGATGCCGATGCCCTCTCAAAATTATCTAGAATATTTTTAACAGGACCTCTAAAGATACAATAACAAACAGCATTCGCTAATAGTGTAAATTTTTACTTGTTACCGACGTAAATACTCGCTCTAATATTAGCATCCGTACAGAGAGGCCGATGACCCTTGTAAATTTTGATTTTTGTAGTTTCCGTGGTGAGCACGCGAGAAAAATTACAGCCACGAACTTCAAAGTGATCTCGACCAATAAACTAAAACCACCTTGGAAATTAATACCACATTAATTATATTGTTCTGCTGTTTTTTATTTCGTACCGATCGAAATGTTTTTACTCTTTGTTAAATTAAGTTACATTTGATTTAAATCAGTATATATACACGCGTAGTTAATATTTTTAAATGTCTTTTTAGTAAAATCCCTGGAGAGTAGGCCTTAGAAACAAAGTAATTTTTTCAGTAGCTACTAAAACTTTTTGTACATAGGTACACACTTAAATAAAAATTATACGAATGAATAAGCGAAGACTGTGTCGTTGTCCTCGCTAATATTTTTCAGTTTAACTGTAGAATTTTAAACAAGGAATATAATTTGAATTATTAACAAGTAAAATAATGTTATAAACCTTGCGATTCTGTTCATAGAATAGAAAACATCTGTTTGGAAACATGTGGAATTAATTACGTATGTTGCAAATTTAGTTCATGTGGTTCTAATTATTAGACGATTATTTTAGTAAATTTTAATACATAGACTAGACCGCTATATCGTTACATCATTAATGGCTGGGTATCATGGCTTCAACATGTAAAGAATAAGCAGATATTACATCCTGATATCCACGCTTAATCCTATTGTTTGTGTATCACCAATTTAGTCAATTTTATTAAAATCACTCAACTTGTATGTTGAAACACGCAACATCCCATTTGTGGCAGTGTAAACACACTGTCGCAGCGTGTCTGTCACGTTGACACCGCAGCTTGCTAATGCGGAGAGTACACAGTGCGGCCGCTAGCTGGGACCTCGTCATACTCCTCAGATGCCAGCCGCTTGTTAATTATATACCGTGAAGTTTGACCTCTGAATCAAGCAGTTTCAACTATATATGATGGTCACAGATCTTTGTAATACCATCACATGTTATAAAGACCAGCACGGAATCGTAAAGTGCACGGCTGGCGCGCTTCTGATTGCCCCAAGTTTCGATCGCGTTCGAAATCGATAGTGATTACCATTTTCCCTGGGGCTCGCCGCGGCCGCGCAACCTCCGATGGAAAGCGACGCTTAACCAATGTTCCGCTCTGATAACTCTCTAATTACGCCTCAGTTGCTGTTTTCCATCGCCACTCACCAAACACTGGAGCCGACTCCTCGCTGCTTTTCACCCGCCCCGGCAGAGTTCAACGTTCATTAGTTAGCTACACTTTCGCCTTTGACACGACCGCGGTTACGCTACCGTATTGTTTGAATAGTGACGTATTGCTTGCAATAAATACATTTTATGTATTCAAGCCCAAGTTGACGTTTTCGGAGTAGGGTAACAATCCTTTGTCCCGACAGTACGACAGCAATGTAATATGTATTTTCTTTGTTTCAATTTTCTGTTTAATATTTCCTTTCTTTGAAATTTGACTCAATTTCCAAGATAAATATTGCTTCATTTTAAGGATTACTGTAGGTACATATTAGAAGTCTAGTAAACTGAATATATTTGTAGGGAGAAGGTCGCGCACAGTCACCGAGGCGATCCGCGCCGCGGTCGGTTATTGCCCAGTGAGCGAACAATAACCACTCATACGCCGCGCCGTTAAAAGCATTCGTGTGTAATTGTTTGCGCAGTCCGCTGCCAACCGCACGACTACTCCTCGACGAGAAGCTCTATTATAGGGATGAACTCACTTACATTTTTCACTCGAAGACGACTCACTCATTGCCTTGCCGAGGAACCAGCGTGTACAGATCTAGAGGCATCCTTAAAACGACAGCAAACCACAGGAGACAAGGCAAATAAAAAAACCTTTCGACAAAGGCGGCAACATCATTATGACGGGACGGTGGAATAGCTGCGCACATCAATCGGCATATAGTGTAGCATAATAATTTGTCTGTTGTATTCCAAAACACAAGTGTTTGCGTGTTTACGATCCCCGGACGAGGCAGAGTCGAATAGAATATACAATGATGTGTCATTCACATCGATTGAGGCCGCATACAAGATGCGGTGTATCATACATTATGTATAGAGCCCGTGTTCCGCGTCGCGCAACACTTATCTTCATCATCTAATACAATCTACAAAAATTGTTCGATGGTATATCTTTGCTAAACATTAATCATCCTACATTTTCTAAAAATAACACTCATTAAAAATTTCTTTGTCTTGCAGTTAGTTGATAGATGTATTGATATGTGCCATGTGGGTACTGTTGCTTGCGACACGCGTCGACCATTGCCCCTCGTGTGCACAACTGCCGACAATTATTCCTCATTGCGACAATACAACGAACACTTTATAAGGCCGTATACACACGAACGACTTTATATTCTAGCAATTCCATTCAAGCACTATTTATTATCTAGTGACATGTCGGTTTACAACCACATTTCGTATTTAATGTAAGTAATTTCATTCAATAACTCTAACCTAATAAACTACAATTCGGTCAAATGTACTGCTAGAGTTAACAATTCGACTGGAGCGAAGTTATCTTTAACAGAAGTAGTTAATTAAATTTACTTTATAAAGAAAAGATTCTTATATATGGCATTTTATTATAATGAGTTGACGTTAGACGACAGCTAGTGTTCCGTCGGCCTACTCCTTCGTCATGCACAATCGCGGCGATTGAGGCCGCGAAGCGAGCCTATTCGCTAGTCGCTCGGTGCGCGCGTGAACCACCGTCATTGTTATGGTGATATCCCACACCAGACCGACGCACAGCACGAAACAATACAACGCTATAGACACATTTACATCTTAAAACTGCTCCCCTCTCTTCTCGTTTCTTCTAAGACAATTAACTTCCAATAGCCAAAGATTTTTACAGAAATAAATTATTCATGACAGGGTCCCACACGAATGAAATCTGGTCGACGACCATTAAAATTCGACGCATCCCGAGGCCCTAACAGTGCCAGTTAAGGTTTCGGTTAATTGGTAATATTAAGCGTTTTAACGTCGAAGCCATTACTGAAAACGAAACGCAGGTAGACGGCACCAGCATCCCGGGGTGCTTTTTTTGTTAGCGCAGGTACCCAACCCGGTCCGGGTAGATTGTGAACGCTTTTTCTATAATACAATAAATACGACTATCGTAAAGTTTTCAAATAAAATAAAAAAAATAAACACCGATGCGACGAACCATAATTATCTGTTCCTACACTTACTTGAATATAAACTTTTTTTTTTAATTGTAATAGCAGGTTTCTATTATACGACTTATAAATGTCTGGTATTTTTAAAATAAATTAAGAAATAACATTTAACAACAAAAACAATTTTTAAAATTATCTGTGCAAGTCCGGATCCTCGTTTGATAATATTATATTGAATCTAGTAACGCCACCGTCGAAAATGGTCTGATCTGAATATTATAATAATTATCATGGTTCTTCCGTATCATCAACATTTCTCTAAATAAGATGTATCGTGGTACTTCTATTGCACTTTCAACGGTATATTTCTTGGTATTTATTTTTAATGAATCATGTATTTTCGCTTTTTACTACATCAGATTAGATTTATAAATCTTATTTTATTTCAATTCCAGAACCAAGCTCGACCAGTGCAGACGATGAACAGCGCACTCAACAGCGCATTGGGCGCAGGCGGGGGCGCTATTGGTGCGGCCTGGGAGCACCCGGCCCTGGCTCGCGCCGCCTCCGTGCCACACCGCGCTCTGGCCGGCCTGCTGGACCGCCTGGGACACCGCCGCCTCGAACGCACCGCAAGCGAGCCTGCGCCGCCGCCTGCTACCAGCCGTTACAAGACCGAGCTCTGTCGCCCCTTCGAGGAGGCTGGGGTCTGCAAGTACGGCGACAAGTGCCAATTCGCCCACGGCGTCCGCGAGCTACGCAATTTGCAGCGCCACCCCAAGTACAAGACGGAGCTGTGCCGCACCTTCCACTCGGTGGGCTTTTGTCCGTACGGACCGCGCTGCCACTTCGTGCACAACGCGGAGGAGGCGCGACGCCGCGAGCCCCCGTCGCCGGGCGGCTCACTCGCCTCGCTGTCCTCTGGCTCGGGTGGCTCGGGCTCGGGCTCAGGCTCCGGCTCGGCATCGGGCTCACTTGCCTCTTACATGAGCGACGGGTCGCGGTCGCCGCGGTCACCGCACTCGCCTGCGCTGTCGCCTGCGCACGCTGGCGCCTTCGCCTTCCGCCGCACGCACTCGCCGGACCCCGACGACGAGCGGCTACCCGTCTTCAACCGGCTGTCCTCGGCGTTCGGCGACCTCATCATCGCCTAGCTCTGCTACAACCCGAGCGTAGTGTGTAAGGATCGTCCGACACCCTAGTGCCTCCTCGACGTCTTCCAGCCGCGCGGGCGACGTCCCGATCGCCGCGTCTCACCCGCTCAACGAATGATCTCCAGTCTGCCGATGCTCCCCGTGACCCGTTCACTGGCGTCTCGAAAGTTTGCGGTGTGAATATAGTCTTATATATCTTTTAGTTATCGGCACACACTTGTAAATGGCACCTTATATTGTTAGAATATTTATTGCGTAGCTCGCGGTCGTCTTCCCGATGCGATCTTCCGCCGAGCGGTGGTCACTGTAAAGTTAGTTTATAGAAACATTTTATTTATTTCGTACCGCTCCCCGCGCTCGGTGCCGTACCGCGAGAAGGCGCTCGTGATCTATTTTTAAGGATTTAAGATAATAATTTATTATTTATTTGGAGTCTCGTTTAACTATAATGACCGACGGTATCCAGCTGCGACGCCGCACCGCACACGGCCGACACGCGACGACGGGACGCGGCCCGCGCGACGGCGGCGCGCCGATTCCTCTCGCGCGCCACTCCCCTCTTATTCCACGTTACAGTTTACGGAATCGGCAGCTGCCACCTCGCCAGTTCGGCAGGGCTGCACAAACTCATACATCGCTCCATTTCGTCCGCATATTTTGCGTCAGCTCGGACTTAACCTCGAACCCGGCGTCCGCAACATCAATCATCCGCAGCTCATTTGAGCGCCCCGGGCGCAGCGCCGCCGCCGCAGCGCGAGGGATTTTTCGTTTTTGCGCCGGCAAGGAGGGCTAACAACGATCACAAACCAGTTTCGGAGTTTTGGTGATTGTTTTTTCGTCCTCGCGCCGCGCGCTCCCTCTCGCTTCGGCGCTCGGCGCTCGACACGGCCGCGTCTGAGCTCACGCAAAAAATGTCAGAAATCAGAGAATAAGCCCGCCGGACTACCGAGGCTTCGTTCTTCACCGAAATACCTGTATAAAGTTATAAGTACACGATAGTTTATAGGGCGGGCGACTTCGCCTCCCGCGCAGTGCCTTTTACTTTATAACGAAATAAATCGATTATATTTAATTTTTAGTTGATCGGGATAGATTGTTTATTTATTGTCTCCTTTGAATATAATATTCAAATCGGCACAGTTATTGCTTTAGGACATTGACAGAGCTAAGTGATTAGTTGTCGTGGTAGCATTATAGTTTTTTTTTTCTTTGAATTTAAAGTGTGATATTTTATAATATTTATATAACAAAGTTTAAAAAAAAGTTTTAATTAAGGGACCAATGTAAGTGTTTAGGAGAAATTCTGATAGAAAGGGCCAGATACGCTTTTGATTCTTACCGAGAAACTGTATCCTCGCGCCTCCGTAAATTATTTTTATACATTGTCAGATCTAAGATTTTGTAAGAGAAATAAATGACATGTTGACCGTTGATGGTTTTGTGTTTAATTATTTGTCAGCTATAGAACCGAGATGGTGGTGTTTTTATTTGCCTGTTTTTTGTGTAACTACTTTAGTTTTGGCGTTTCTCCTGTTTGGTGCGAGTGTTGCATGGTGACCACTGATGATAATAATTTTGTACCTAATGCTAAGGAGATTAGTTTGTAAGCGTTTTCATAAACTTCGTGAATATTATTTATTATCAGTTCATTACGAATTATAAACCATTAAAGCTGATTATTTAATTTCCTTTTGTATTTAAACAGACATTTAAGTACTATGATTACTTATAACTTAATTTTAGTAATATATCATGAGTCATTTATTGTAACAGGCATTAGTGTAAACTATAGTACCTACGTCAATTGTAATTAAGTATTTAATTTTTTTTTATTTAATTCCATTAAGTTAATCTTCAAAAAAATTGACTACTCTATTTTCTTACGAAAGAAAACGAACTAAGGCTAAAGCTTGTTTATGACATTTTTCTTGTAAGTTTTCTTATTTCCATCTGCATTTTATTGAATTATAGTGAAAATATGTTATTTTTTTGTTTTTATTTTTGTTTTTTTACCCAGCACACCACCACCTACCTTTACCCAAAATGTTACCTATACGCACAGCCAGAATCAAATCTATTCAAATAGATAAATGGAAGAGAAACATCTCACACAAAATAAAAACATAAGATATTCAAATTTTTAAAGACATAATACTATCACATACAAAGACATAATACAAATTTCACAACAAATCGTAAGATTGCGTACAAATCTAAGTGACTCATAGCAAGAATAACTTGCGACTAAATCCTTAAAGAATTTACTGGTGTGGTGACATAGCTTGTTGAGTGACTGTATTTCCACTGTTGTAGCACCTGTCCACCAATGTTGTAATCCCGCTCATTCAATTAAAAAATAATACTGTCATGCTTAGTTGATGATCAACTTAAGTTATTTATGAGAACAGTGGTTAGAGCCTTTGCAACTAAAAGAGGAGAAACAAGTGGTTAAAAACTATATTCCATATTATCTAAGATAAGATAAAGCAGTGACATACCCCATATAACTTGATATTAGCTTTTCTAAGGAGAAAGAAAGAGATGGCAGTAAGTTTATGTTAGGTGTTTTTGCAGCGAAAACTCATAGTAAACATGTTACATAGTTTTGAACTGAACATTCTGACGTATCATAAAATATACTCTTTATACAGGTTCTGCATCAAGCATTTACATGTTAATTGCAGTTTTATATTAAAAAGTAAGTACGTAATTACTTAAAGGTTTCAATACAACTTTATAAGATTTTATCCGGTCCAACAGCTAGCTTTGAGCTCGACAGACATTTTAAGTAGAAACGAATTAAGAGCCTATGAATGAGAAAAACAAAGAATCATTGCGACAAGATAAGAAAAAACATACGACAAAAATACAGCTCTAAAATGATTTGCTTTATAAGAATGAATTTGCTTTTGCACATAACATGTTTACATAATGAAATATCAATACCAAACTATTTATTCAGTGTACTGCTTTGAAAACAGGAACATTACAATGTTATTAGTTGAGACGTTAACTTCTAATCATATGAAATTAAAGCTGACAACAATAAATTCGTAGTATATGCGGCGTCGAATGGCCGTTCCTTTGCTTCGTCGGTGTCTATGGTAACCCAACACTCAGATAAGACTGGCCTTGGTACCACAAAACACTACCCGACCCACGGCCATATCATATTTAACCCTTATCACTGTCTAATAAAGTTCAATTTAAAAAAAATATATTTTACACATGACATAAAACGGATGTTATAATCTGCGGTCTGTCGAATCAAATAAACGAGCTTGTATTTTAATGAAAGAAAAGAACGAACGCTTAAAATGGTTCATCAAAAATTAAAACTGCTGTGGAATTAAACCAAACAAAAACCTTCGTATGGTTTGGTTTTGAAACAAGTTTTAAACACCACCCTTTTCTTATAAGGAAATGATGGGAAGGGGAAGTCGATTTGGTGCAGGAGGGGAATCATAGGATTGGGAAAAATCGTCTTTTTGTGCCTTGTTACATTCTTAAAATATAAAAAAACACCACCAAATTTAATTTTTTATCTTTTGCCTGTTTATGCTTGTAGAAACAAGACATATTAATGTATGTTTTATTATAAGAATGTAAGACCACGTGCTGAGTTTAATAATCTAGAAAAAGCCTACGCCTACAAGGTGATTGATCCTATTATTTCTACTTTATAAATATTTAAAATAATGATCCAAAAAAATAGCTATCGCTATCAAAACAAATTAAAATACAAAATTTAAATCGATCAATTAGTATAGTGATATTATTTTACTCTGAATATCCGAAAACTGATTTTATAAAATTTTTAAAACTAGTTTTTGTTGGTCATAAAAAGTTTCAGACTGTAATACCTCGAGATGCTATGAGCTCATTCTGCCGTAGAATAACTGTCAAGAATGTCAAAAAGGAGGGTACTTCGACAATAACTTTGACATCTCGATGTCAAAACTTCGTGTCACAAATTGTAAATGAGTGCGATGGAATCCGTAAAATTCGTTTAATTCACTTTACGATTTTCGTGTTATAACAAAAAATAATTTTATGAATTTCTTTGAACAATTAGATGATAAAAAGTCGTGTTAATCTGTTGAAGTTAGTTAAAAAGTTAAATTATTAAATATGTTAGATAATTTATTGCTCATAAATTAGTTTAATTAAATTTTAAAACGTTCTGAATCTTTGGATCGAATGTCGAACTGAACGAAAACATTAAAACGAAGTTCCGGGTCATCGGAAGAGCAACCAGTTTGGAGATAAAAATATCTTCACATTGCTAAAAGCGTAAGTAATTCCAAATTATATCTTTTGCTTACTGCATATCTTACCCTTTACCTTACAGGTAAGATACGAAAATGCAATTTCAATCTTTTTAAAACTTCTTTAAATAAGCTAGATTAAGCTAGAAAGAAAAGTCTGACTGGATATTATTACGTTTTAGGACTAGTTGATCGCCATAATGTATCTGTCCTGGTGTTTTTCTTTACTGGAAAGATTTAGCATCATAACCACAACTTGTATAAGAACCACTAATAAGCGGTAGCCTATTATCGTCTCGTAAAGCTTTTGTTTTTTTTTTATATCATAGTCTGTGGGCAAGATGTCTGACTACTTACTAATAATATATTATAAATGCGAATGTTTTGATGTATGGTTGTATATTTGTTGCAAGGAATTCGCGGAGCGGCTGCATCGATCTTTTTGAAATTTCCATAGATGTAGAATTTACCTTGCAAGGATACATAAGGATACTAATTAAGTTTTTTATTATTTTCACGAGAACGGAGTCGCGGGCGACAGCTAGTAAGACCATAAAGAGAACTATAGCGTCGAATGTTCTTGTTTCAAAAAAGGTTCTCGTAACAACCATGAGAGGGTATACTTAAATCGATGATGTCCATTAGACTGACGTATGTACGACAATATTTCGTGAGCTCAATGTAATCGCTAAACAATGAATACATTCCGCATCGCTGCCGATAGGTGGCGTGATACGTCCGACCAGTTTAATCAAAGCCATTGTACGATTACCGGACGGCAGATAAACCGAAAAATAACGTCCATTAATGTTACATTGAGTGTGTGAGCCATTGCTTTTATACGACACGAGAAGATATGAACAAACATGCTGACCTTTTTAAGTATGCCTTCTAAATAACATTGAGAAATTCGTAACCGTGTGTGATTAGGGTTGCCAGTTCGCCAAACCTAATAGTCGGACCGACCAGTAAGTTTTTTGGTTGTATTTGGGTAGAAACGCCGGACAGCCTACACTCCATCGGCCACTGTCGTTTACGAAATGTAAACCCGGACACCGTTTACTTTGTCCGGACGCGCAATTAAAAAGCCTACCTATGTCCGGCTTTATCCGGACGCCTGGCAACGCTTTGTGTGATCAATTCTATATTTCTTGGACTCGATCTTGCCCTCTTTATAAATGTACTAATGAGTAGTTATGGGCTCGGCAGTGCCCCGTCGAGGCTACAATATTTACAAGACTTTAATGGTTTCTTATTTATTATTGACTTGTTGACCGGAACTTTTGTTAGGAAGTCAAATAAAAGCCAACTAAATATAACATTAATTAAATACGGAAACATATTTATATGTATTGTACATAAGGACAAGTTGAAAAGTAATTCTTTAGTAAACAATTTCAATAACATAAAGCCGGAAAATTGTCGACATTTTTATAGAAGGCTATCGACCTTTTGTACAATTTATAAATGTTTAAGATGTTTGCACTTAGGCTAGTTAAATTTTAATGTGCTATTTTTTAATTAGTTTCAAATATAATTAATTAAATAAAAATAAGTACTATATTTTTGTAATTAAATAACTGATTCAAAGATCGACGTTGGGATCCTGATATCATTTTGTCATCTATAAAATTTATGAATTTTATGAAAAAAGAAACAAGCTATAAAAATATTCTGTATACGCCGTATAGCTGGACCTGCGAGGGCTATTAGCAATGAACTGGGAGGAGAAGGCACAGGACAGGCGATCTCATATGTCGGAGTCCAAGAGCCACTTTGGATCGCTGGGCCAGCGAAGGGAGTATTAAAAATATATTAAATATAAAAATCACATTCTTCTAACAAATTCCTCTTTAAAATGTTCATTTTATCTAAAAATAAATATACAAAAAAGTGAATATCAATGTATGTGGTCTTAGATAAAACTGAGTGGGGGTCTTCTGACGAGGTTAAATATTCTCTTATCGGTCTACCCTTCGGTTAATCCCTTCCGTAAATGGAATCAGCCCCACGGCGCGGCGGTCCAATGCAAATTTTGTCGTTTAATTTTTTTTCCGGCCATCCTTGAAACGTGACTATATTATTTCGAGGTAGGAAGCGGACGTGACATGTTGCTTCACCTCTATCTGTTTATACCAATATAAACAACTGGCGTGAACATGCAA